GTTTTTTACTCGTGTGGCGTTGGCCTCCGAGCCGTAGGCGAGGACTGGCCAACCACACGAGTAAAAAAACCCCATCGCAACAGGCCGGAAAAATACTATTTTTCTCCCAGAATTAAGGATACAATATTGAAAAAAAATACTAGAATTTTCCAGATACTTCAATTGACGAATTCAATTTTTCTCAAATTTTTTCGGTCAACCAGTCGATGGCAAGGTGAATAAAACGATGTATTGCGGCAATTCCCTCGCATGGTGACCAGTCTAGGGTTAAAGTCATTTGTAATTTGAGGTGATAAACAAAGCTGATCAAATTGCGGTTCAACGACACTTGTTGTCTTTAAAACCCCTGTGACGGTTACGATCCAAGAGACTCACTTTTGATTCAACACATTCAGTCTTCTTGATTTGAAGGAAAGAAAAATGATGATCAAATCTTATTCTTATTCTTATTCGTCATTAGGCCGAAAATAGTATATTTCGTAACGAGTGCAAAAAAGTGTTTTTTGGCGAGTGGGAGGTTTATATCACTCGCCTTCGGCTCGTGATATAATCCCACGAGCTAAAAAACATTTTTTCACGAGTTACGAACAATATTTTTCATCACAATGTGGCGGAAATTGGACTTTTAGGCACGCGGAGCGTGCCGAAAAGTTCACTTTTCGTCACAGCGTGATGAAAAAACTTTTCTGGCGAATATGAGGTTTGCAGCACGAGCCGAAGGCGAGGGATATTTTTTGTCATGACGGCCGTAGGCAGAGATTCACGGACGCGGAGCGTCCGTGAAACGCTACTTACTGCCGGAATGACAAAAAAGTTTTTTTTCGGCCTAATGACGAAATGTACTATTTCGACACTAGGCTATGAGGAACTTTTTTAGCGAATATAATGTTACGGACGAGCCAAAGGCGAGTTCTGTAATCATATGTGGTATGAGGCGCGTGTTTCGAATGTCAGTGAGCATCATGGGAAAGGTATAGGTTGGACCATGGAACTGAGAGAGAGAAAACACTCGACAGGTTTACCAACTCGAGACGCATTTTAATATTATTTCAATAATGAGAAAAACATCCAATAAAAATTATTTGACACCCGTAGGTGATGAGAAAAAAATCAATCTGATAAATAAAATCAGTATTCAAAAAATGTTCAAATGCACACTTGAATAGTTACTCGAAAATTTGAAATTTCGTGCTCAGCGATTGAATCAGGGCTCGAGAACAATAAGTGTTTACCCTATTTTAGTGAGAAGAAATTCAAAAAATGCAAAAAAAGTGGGGCGGGAAGAACTAAAAAAATTAATTTTTCAGTCTTCGGAAAGCTTTAAAATCATTTTTTTTTCAAATAATGGAAGAATACCCATAAATTCGATCTCTATCCTTGTCTTTTGACAGAATGAATAGAATAAATGACAGAAATTGAGAATTGGAGGCTAAAAATTTTATCGGATTATCTTTATGTAATAATATAATCATTATTATTATTATTATCAGCATTTCTACTCGTGCAGTAAGATTGGTATAATCATATAATTTACTCGCATTATTGCAGAATCAAAACTTCCTGGTATAAAACGTCATTCAGATCTCGGAAACTTTTTCAACTCCTGATCATGAAGAGTATGGAGCCATGCCAATTGACAGCAGGTGGTGTCTATATTCTCAACTTGGAAAACTTCAGTGCAGTAAGATTATCACTCATAAAATTACCGTAAATTCAATTAACTCTCTTTTCACATGTTGATTTATCAATCGCAAGGTGGTGAAGACATCCATGTCATACTTTACAGTTCTCTGCTCGACGACCTGAATATTTTGGAGGACTTGCCAGCTATCAAAAATTTCTACTGATAAAGGCGAATTCATTATATTCCTAACATATTCAAAAATTATTATAAAAAATACCAGAATCAAATTACTCAATTAATTTTTTATCCGCTTATGAGAATGGACAAATGGAATCCTAATAAAATCAAAAGTCACGAGAAAATCATTATGTGGATCAGATATTTTTCCGGTGATTCTTCAAAACTTTATCATTAACATGTATCAATATTCAATGTGAGTGTTTGTTTTATGATTCAAATAACTGCAAATGTGCTAATGATGATTAAATGACTTTTATAAAATATATTTAATAAAATTCGATTGCATCGATTGAAATCCAACTAAAATTTTTCCTTGTAGAGAAATCGTAGCGCAAGTTGTAGACTAGTGCTGCTTTACCACTTGACTTTTTGCTCAGTTTTGGTTAATACAATAATTATTTCAGTGATTCAATGTATCTATGGGTATTTCAAAGCATTCACTACAGAATAATTATGGTAATAAATAATTCGTAATTATTGTGTTCTTCTTAATAATCATCAATTTTTTATTCTCACTTTCAATTATCTTTCCGTCTCATCTGCTCATTATTTCAGTGATTATGTTGATGAGCTGATGAATTTTTATCGCAGATATATTTGTTATTATTAGTTGATGTGTATAAAGCATTAAAACTTAAGGCAAAAAAGAGAAAATTATCTAGATAAGCAATCATTTTGTCGAAGCTTTCAATTTTGGCGACAGAAAAAAATTGCTCAATGAATTAATGATAAATCCCGTCAACTTCCAAGATGTTTACAGAATAAAAAAACAGTTGTTGCTAAAAATACAAAGAGTCATGATTTTTTTTTATCGAGTGAGAGAAAAAAGTTTCTAGTTTATATAATAGACGCGATTAAACAATTATACATTAATGATAATTCTTAATTGAAGGAATATTAATAAACATCACCATTATATAAATAATATATTAATTGACTAATTTTGGTCTCTGGAGACGTTGAATTCTTTTGGCTAGCAAAAAAGACAATCGTCCAATAATTAACGAATTTTATTTCATCCTGTTTTTGTTCATTTTGTTGTTGGTTGGAAAATTTTGGCCTCCTCAGTTCCTCAGAGGATCGAGACTCTCCAGGGAAAAATCATCGGTTCCCATTGTCAATCCTCGGCTGAATCCATCCTAAAATGAACGAGAAATATCATTTTTTTCGAAGTGGACAATGACTTTTTTTCTATAAAAGAATATAGTAATTGTTGTTGATAAACTAGCAATTTGCTTCCAAATGGGGTCTCTTGTTTTCAATTTTAATTTTACTATTCTCTTCTATTTTTTCATGTCGTAGTGCTATCATCAATTGAAATGTCATCAAAATTTTTCGTATTATTTCGTTCTGTCAAATAATTCTACATTCAGCCCCTCTAAAGACTCGAATTCATTTCAATCCGGGTTTAATCAAGATTCAATCAAGGTTTAATCAATATATAGACGGGATTTGATCAGGGCTTAATCACCATTTAGCCAGAATTTAACCCAAGTTCTGTCAGAAGTTGGTCGGGACCAAGAATCAATATGAATAAGTATTCAACATAATAGACTGGTTCCTGAGTTTAATAGAGATAGAGATTTTGATATAAAAACTCATGACGGTATTGTGTAACTTGATAAACAATGATGCTGTTCTCACCATTTTTCAACTTGATTGAGAAGGCATTCAAATATACTTTTCAAGAAGTAAGAGAAAGTCAAGAGAAAACCCCGATTTTCTCTTTCAAATCGCATAAACAATGTGCTGTAACTCAACAACGAATTGTGCGACCCAAGACGGTATTGTTAATAATTTTTTGTACCATGATAATTCCACTTTGATGCCAATATTTTGAGTGATCATTACAAAATCAATTTTTGGAAAAATATCAATTCACTCGAATCTGTATGAAAAATTAAACTTTAATTGATGTCAATGAGTCAATGAGACCGCTTATTAAATTCTACATTAATGCGGTCTTTGCAGACCATATTTAGTAACTCCAACACAAAAAATTGGAAAGTTAAATTTGACCGATTGCAAGCTTTCTGATTACAAATTTTCTGTTTTTGGCTTCCATTCGGAAATTTACAGCCTTTTTATTTTTCAAGTACCTTCATTTCGAGTAGCCGCTTGTCCAATAATCCAATGGCATTCTCGAGGTCCTGCTGACTCGTGCTAGACATGGAGAGATTGGAAAATTCTCCCATTTCGAAAGGATCATCAAAATCACCTGTTGAATTGGTGGTGGACGCTGGTGGATTGAACGGCACACTGCCAAACAAATCTTCCTTCACCCCATTCTGACGCCTCGAATCCTTGGCTTTTGGTGGTGGTGCCACTAATCAAATAAAAAATAAATGGATTCCATAAACTCCCTCAGGATAATGTTTTCCCAATCTTGAATACTCCTAATACTAATAAATTTATACTCAATGCAGACTCACAGAGCGGTGGAGACGTGGAACTACCATTTATCAATGGAAAAGTACTTTTAGACTCTCCATTGGTCAAGGAGCCACTGTTCTGATGATTAAACCCATTGGTAGCGGTTTCGTACGCACGAGGATTGAAATCCTCCTCCTCTTCCTCCTCTTCCTCCAACTCTTCCTCCAATTCATCCATAAGTAATCCCTCCAGTTTGGTACCAACAACTGGCATTGGTGCTGGTTTATTTGCCATGAAATCATCATCATCAAAACTCCTTGGTGGCACTGGGGGTGGCTGTTGTCTTCCATTAGATGTATTACCATTAGTATCACTCTTTCCTAATTTAGCATTACCATTCAATCTTGATCCATCATCTGGGGAGGAATCTGATGAGACCATTGAAACGTGCAGAATATCCGGAAGATTGTGGTGAGCCAAGTAGGATTGTACATCCGCCTGTAATAATAATAATACTAATAATAATAATACTACTACTACTACTACTACTACTACTACTGCTACGAATAATAATAATAATAATAATAATAATAATAATAATAATAATAATAATAATAATAATAATAATAAGGGAACACTATTGTAGAGCGATTAGGAATAGTTTGTATCGCTTAGCTTGCTGGGCGGTCTTCGAGGTGAAGTCGGAACCCTCGAGGATCGTTCAGCGATCTCATTAACGTGTAATAAAAAATAATAATAATATTAAGCTGACCAGCTGATCAATTAAAAACATCTTGATTGGCTGGGATACCCCCACCACTCTATCTCCCCCCTCCAGGGGTCAGGGGGTATATACGGATTTCCTTACAACGGGGAGCTTCAATATCGGAGCAACCTAGCCCTGATGATGCAGACTGAAATGTTTGCGAAACGTCGGCAAAAAGCTTAATCTAGACGCGGCACCATCCAGAAGCCATCATAATGAATAAAAATAATGAAATTTGCACTTTTTCGATATTTCTTCACTCATTTCGACTCAACCAATTGGGATAAACCCAAATGCACTAAACAAATTGCATTTTTATTAACTCATTGTATTTTTTCTGGAAAAAAACTATGTCTAAAAGATTTATCATTTCATATTTTCTTCCCATTTGCCACGGGAATTATGCATTATTTACATTTTATTATTCAATATTAATTAAACACTCTTTTTCAAAATGTTCAGATTTTTTTTACTTTTTTTTCAATGCAAATTCATAATTTTCGGGGGTCTCTGAGTGACTAGGCATCGAGTTGAAATCTTAATTTTGAGTGATGACAAAAGTTCCATTCGAAAACAATAACAGTACTAGTCCCAGAACAACTAGTTATTGAAAATATCAACACTTACGGAGCCTTTGATAGCGCAAATATCCTGTAATCTCTGTCTATACGTATTATTCTCATGTTCCAGCCGACGAATCTTTTGTTGAAGGACCATACAACGTCTCTGAGTCTCTAAATCTTTGCCCGATGTCTCCAGAAATCTTCTGTAGGCCAAACCAAAGGCTTGGCCGATCGTTAACGTTATTTCTTCAGCCAATTTGTCACTCACAAACACAAAACATGTGTGACGCTCAGCGTCCTCTTCTTTAGCGATGAAACTGAAGAATCGCTTCTCACCTTTATCATCCGCACAGTAGGAAATTCGGTGAAGGGGATATTGATGCATAATTCGCTGTTTGAGAGAACAATCATACCGAGTGAAAAAAGTATGAAATTTTCATTTTACAGCAGAGACTTCGTATAAGATACCTCGCGCTCCGAGTGCTCGAGGTCTACCCCCACTCTCGGTACTTTTATCGCCTCCCGAATGTTCATGTTCCGTGGGCTTCTTATAACATACCTATGGCCCCGGTCATTTTTCAACGGGAAGAGAGTAGTCATAAGGATCAAACGGTGTTAAGGGTCAAACGGGAGGGACGAACGAAGTGGTCATGAGGGTCTAATGACCAAGGGGGGGTCACACCACTTTTTTCAAGTAACGGAAATACACATCGATTTTTTTTTTCACTTCTCCCATCGAAAAATCATAATTTTTCGTCTGTGATTATTCTCAAGTCCACCAACAATCCCCCAACATCAGCTGCCATTCTATCACGCGGACACGGAGAGAAATATTCAATAAAAATTACGTATCTTTTCCGTAATTCCGGCGCGAAATGTGGATGTAGGAAATGTTACGCAACTGTCTCGGAATTTTTCCGAAGCGTTCCGTAATTTTTATTTGAATCTCCTGTGAAAAATTACGATACAATCACTTAAATTTTCTGAGTCGATTCCGTAATCGGTGAGCGAATTGTGAGTTCCGTAATTTTTACTGAACATTTCTCTCCGTGGAGTTATGTTTAGAGAGAAAAGAGAACGCGGGCGATACAAATTCAAAACATTAAACACATATAAATTGATTAGTTATCGATATTCATTCAGTAAAAATGAAAATTTCATTGAATTCAGGCGCAACGAACGAGGTATCTTATTTGAAACCTGCTGATCCCTATTTTTCTCCTCTCCTACTGTCCCTAAGATATCTTATACGAAGCCTCTACTGTATTAATATTTTTTTACAATCATAATGATGCTAATAATGATAATAATAATAAACAATAATAATAATAATAATAATAATAATAATAATAATAATAACCTTTGGAGTTGTTTTTGTTTTCGGCTCCTGAATAGCCACTCCATCGATGCTGATAGTGAGTTCAACTTTTGGTATTTTATTTCCCTCGCTCTTCCTCAATTGTTGATTAAATTTGAGTTTGCAAATGGCCTCCTTGACGACTTCAATTCCCTTCGGTTGGTCAACCTCAGTGCTTCCCAAATACTGGAAAGGGAAGAAAAAAAACATACATTTATAAATATTGAGTACGACAAAAAAAGAGAAATGAAAGGAAACCGTACGTCAAGGTGACGTACCACTTCTATATTACAGTATACTGAGGTCACAGTGTTCTCAGACATTATTATTACTTCATTTTGTTCTTCTTGTTTTCTTTTTTTTCCTTCTTTTTCCTTCATTCTGGGGATGCTAAATTATACAATTGTGTCGCTTGAGAATTAGAACGAATAAAAAGCAAATGTTTGATTTTAAGGATATTCGAGTACTTTGGCTGCTTTTTTTTCCAGTGAGATGCTTTTCTACTTGTGTGGTGGGACATCCGAGCTTTCATTTGAGCCTCGTTTAAGCCTGAGTTTCCGCACATTTTACAATGATTTTATTATTCAAACTTTGCAGGCTCCGACCTGCATGTATTATATAATATATACATATATCCTATCTTCATGAAATATTCGAAATTTTCGCAAATTTTCACATAAATCAAAATAACGATTATTGCTATCGTCTTCATCTTCGAACTCGGTCAAAACGACATTCAAGCAAATTTTTTAAGCCATCATCCAATCAATTCAGAATATTTTTCTGTAGTTATCGTGGGAGAACCAATTTTTGAAAAAATTCGAGAATTAAAAAAAATAATAGATGAATTAAATTTTAATTAATGGCGATTGATAGGGCTCAACAATATCTACATTTTAAAAAAGGTTCAATTCCATCCTTTCATTAGCGAACAATTGAAGAAAAACTTTGTTACACACACGTACACATGCATGTGCGAACGAGGTCCAAAAATTGCATTTTCGTGAGAAAATGCATTCTGATGAGAAATTGCATTCATCACAAGGTCCACAAAGTATTTTCTAACGAATGTGATTATAGGCCTCGCCTTCGGCTCGGCCAATAGAGCCACATTCGTCAGAAAATACTTTGGGGACCTTGTGATGAAAATAACTATTTCGAACTTTTGGATCCTACTGGGTCGATATGACACAAAAAATCCAAAACTTAAATTTGAACGATTACAAAGTTTCCATTCGGAAGCACTACGGTTTCCGAAAGTTTAAACAATTTCAATTATTTGTGATAACATTAATGATTTTTTTCAAATTTTTTTCACGCAATTTAATTGACAAATTTGATGATTGAAAATGATTGAATCTATAGTGCGGTCTGTACCAAACTGTAAAAGAGAGTTGAATATCCTTAAACCGAGGGATAAAACCAATATCATCTTCTTGTGATACCCGCCGAGTTGATTGTTCGGGGCGGAAAAAACATTCTTTCACATTTTTAATCATCTCTTCAGAAAACTGCATAGCAGAAAAAAGAAAATTACCACATTCCAAAGTCAAACATCCCACATGCAAATTTCATGGTAATCGTAAATTTACGGCGGATATTGTGCAATTCAACAACACACACTTCTAACAGTAATAAAAACAAAATATGCGAAATAATAATGATGAAGAATTGAAAAACTGACATTACGGCAGGCTGGGCATTTTTGTTTCTTAGAGTTTGTACCTGCGTAGAACGTTATCGATTGCGAAAAACTTCAAGTATGGGAAACTGCCCAGTAAATGGACGTTTTTGTTAGGAATTGAAAAAAAATTGATCGAAAAAAAATCGCTATTCGGGAGTTAATCACAGCAGTTAGTGAAAATTCAAAGTAAAAATTCACATTTCAGAATTTTTTTGAGTAATTTCGGGCCTAATGACAAAAATAATTCTTCAATGTCCCCGGAAAGTTTTAAAATCGATATGTTTTTTCGAATAATGGAAAATCACCCATAAATTCGATTTCTATCCTTATCTTTTTATACAATGAATAGAATAAATGACAGAAATTGAGAATTGGAGATGAAAAATTTCATCGGATTATTATTATTATGTAATAATAATTATACCTTGACTAGGTACGCTATGTGGCCCTTTTGGAGTGCATCTGGTGGATGAATCCAGTTTTTATTCGTTCCTACAAAGAGACAAAGACAAAAAATAAATCAATGAATACAAATCAATTAATTAATTCCTTCCGAAAAATCCATTTAATAAAAGGCAAAAAATTCATTTAAATCATTTTACCTGCTCCATTCTTGCTCGGCTGATTCTTATTATTCGTAGAATTCTGCGCCCATTTGAGTAAAGTAGAATTTCTCATATTGACTCAAAAGTTGTATAAATTAATCTGTAATGGGAAATGAAAACAAAAATATTACAAATCTAAAAATAGAACGATAACACTGAAATGAGTTACGTGTGGGTCTTTCAAATATAGAATTCAATGTGTAATTTTCTCATTTAATAATAGAATAGTTGTTGTCTGACCCAATAGAATGTTGAGGTGAGTGAATAGTCCCTTTTCTAAAGTGTCTTTGAAGTGATCCAATACTGGGTCAATTCGATAAAGCACAAACCGAGCCATTCACGCGAGTATCTGGTGAATTAAATCACTCGTTTATCATCTTCATTTTAAACTCGACAATTTGTCGGGTTAAATCTCGGTCTCGGCCGTAGTAAGAAATTGATCAATTAATTCTGAGCTTCATGAATCCTTTCTATTCCCCATGTTTATAAAATAGACTGAGAGAAGAACAAACAAGTTCTCAAACAAGTCTTGTTTGAATCCCGGAAAAAAAGACCACACGGTAAGAAATGTTCAGTAAAAATTACGGAACTCATAATTCACTCGCCGATTACGGAATCGACTTGGAAAATTTAAGTGACGGTATCGTAATTTTTTACAGGAGATTCAGATAAAAATTACGGAACGCTCCGGAAACATTCCGTGACAGTTCCGTAAAATTTCCTACAACCACATTTCACTCTGCACGGAGAGAAATTTTTGATAAAAATTATCCTACCGTTCTATAAAAGTGTATCATGAGTCATCGTTTCCTCATTTCTATCCCGAAATTTAGTAGAAATTAATATATGATGATCAAATTTTATTCTACGTTAGAGAAATTTTATCCTGATTAAAATAAACATTACCGCGCCGGTAGAGTAAAAATTACTGTACTGGTATGGTATAATTTACCAACCGTTCCAGAATTTTCGTTGTTATCTACATAAAAATTATTGGACTGGAAGGGTAAAATTTATTATGCGTCAGGATGATAAAATTTCTCTAACGTAGAATAAAATTTGATCATCATATATTAATTTTTACTAAATTTCGAGATAGAAATGAGGAAACGATGACTCATGATACACTTTTATAGAACGATAGGGTAATTTTTATCAAAAATTTCTCTCCGTGTGGAATTACGGAAAAGATACGTAATTTTTATTGAATATTTCTCTCCGTGCAAGTGAAATTTTTGTTGGGTAGGTTTCAGCACGATTTGAGTGTGTGGACCATTTTTTCCTAATCTATTTTTTCCGCTTATCGTCTTGTTTGGGCCAACAAAATCGCTAATTGAAAATTCATCGAGAAATATTTTGTCCCCAAGTCACAAGATTGCTATTATGTAATTATTATTATTTCATTTAAGGATTCATTTATTGTCTGTGATTACTGAACAGCCGAAAAGAAAAACGACTTTTACTTGTTTCGCATAAAAGGACCATTTTCCAGGAGGAAAATACGTGTGGAAGTATCAAATAACGCAGAAGTAGTGCTAGAAATGACATTTTTTGTTTGCGCAGAGAATACAATTTTTTTGGAACTACTAAATCTATTTTTGCGACAAAAAATTTTCATCGCTGCGCACCCTTTGCACGTTTGGTATAAAAAATCCTTTTTTGATAATTCTTAAAAGCCTTTTTTTTGGCACAAGTACACGGAGAGAAATATTCAATAAAAATTACGTATCTTTTCCGTAATTCCGGAGCGAAATGTGGTTGTAGGAAATTTTACGGAACGGTCACGGAATTTTTCCGGAGCGATTCGTAATTTTTATCTGAATCTCCTGTGAAAAATTACGATACCGTCACTTAAATTTTCTGAGTCGATTCCGTAATCGGGGAGTGAATTGTGAGTTCCGTAATTTTTATGAAACATTTCTCTCCGTGTAAGAGTTGTTTGAGAACTTTGTCATTCTTCTCTCCATGTAAGTTCAATCCCAGGTTTATAGCGGGAACCGTTGTTTTCCCCAAAAAAGCCGTGCCGCACACATATAAAAAATGCATTACTATTCGCTTCACAAACCGTCGAAATACGTTACGAGTCGAGATACACGAGGAGTTGAAAGGTGCAGTAACCTTTCAATCGTGTTATTTTTCTCTCACTGCATGTGTCTGTGGCTTTATCGTTATGTGGGTTATATTACACGTGGTAGGGCCCAGCGATACTATGCCTAAGATGCAGTCCTTCCTGACAGAATATGTCTATAATTATTCAATTTTCATCACTCAAGTAAATAGACGGATACAAGTCTCCGAGCAAACGTGTAAAATTAATTTTTCTCAGAATTCTGCAACGCAATTTCTGTATTGAGCTTGACTCATTCTCTTTCAAATGAAACTGTCATTCGTCATTGAAACTGATACGCGGTAGACTAAATATTTGATGTATAAAATAGAATGAAGAGCCAAAGTTAAATTAAAAGGGTGACGCATATCCATGTAAAACTTGAAAATAATTTCTGATTAAAATTTTATTTCCATCACATAATGGTACGATAACCCGGTTTCAATACAGCGAAAGTTTATCATGAACTCATATCCCTCGTATTATTGACGCGCAGTTGAATCGTATTACTTATGATTCATGAAATGATTATACGACCTTAAGCATGGCATTCTAATGAATCACTTAGAATCATCACGCGTTGACAGTTCCCAAATAGGCGACAATGTGTATGGATAAAGCGGTTATTTCAAAATTCCATGAAAGTCAAGTTAAGTTGAACTAAAATGTTTGTTAAGCATGAGATTTCTAGTATTGAGGTTGTATTTTTGTAGTGCTTCCGAATATTCAAATTAGGTTTTATCAACCATTGTTAACACACTCCTCAATTTGAAGAAGCAAATAACCACCCGAGTCAAATCTTGAGCACTCCAATTTTTTTCATTTCATATACGTCTTATCAATCTTTACAAAGAATGGCTTCCCATCGATGCTTTGGAATGGCTGATTTTGACGATCTTATAATTTCGCCTGGAAATGACGTAGAGTGTCACGAAACCTGAAGATATGATGTTTTTAGAAAATCTGTGTATGTCCGAATGTCTGTGCGAATTTTTCGGAAAATTTTTATAAATCTTCACAGAAAAAGGACTAAAAATGAAGCTAAAATTCTGAAATTTCGTCACATAATTGGTATTACTTTAGAGCACTTCTGGGCGCAATTTCAGCTCAATCGGTCAAGTGGTTTCCGAGATACAGCTATTTCTCAAAATAGTTATTTTCATCACAAGGTCCACAAAGTATTTTCTGACGAATGTGGCTTTGTAGCCACACATAATCACATTCGTCAGAAAATACTTTTGGACCGTGTGATGAATGCAATTTTTCGTCAGAAAGCCCATAAACCACGATCAAACCGAGCGAAGCGAGGTTAGAATCGCGGTTTACCGGGTCTTCTCACGAAAATATGTTTTCCTCAATATCTCGAAAACTACGTGACTGAATTGAATTTTTTTGACGTCCGAATATTCCTTGTGATAATATCTATCAAATCAAATCACAACATTGCTGTGTAACTAGGGACAGTTTGGTAATAATCAGCATTTTTCATTTTTACGAGAAAATCGTTCTGTACACGTTAACTCCCGAAAAAAATTAGATAGGATATTGAAATTTGGTCAGATGATATTACAGGATGGGATTCTGACGAATATGATTGCAGCCCTCGCCTTCGGCTCGTGTTGCAAACCTCATATTCGTCAGAAAAGCTTTTTTTGGCCGTATGACGAACAATATTTTTTGTCATGACGGCCGTAGGCAGAGATTCGAAGCGTCCGTGAAACGCTGCCTTACGGCCGGAATGACAAAAAAGATTTTTTCGGCCTAGTGACGAAATATACTATTTCTAAAAAGTCACACATCGTCGTTTTCTAGATTAATTTCGTCTCTGGGGGCTTATTTTTTAATTTAAACCTTGAAGTTGAATTTCAAACGTGGAATAAACCTCTGAGATTCCAGCTACTAATTAGTATTATCGAGTCACACTTGTGTATAACATTTGGTGTCGATCGATTCAATACATCCTGGGATAGAGCAATTCATACTTTCGCCTCTGGAAGCTTATTTTTTAATTGAAACCTTGAACTTGAATTTAAAACATGGAATAAACCTCTGAGATTTTGGCTACTAATTAGTATTATTCTTGAGTCACACTTGTGTATAAAATTTGTCGATCGATTCATCACATCCCGGGATACAGCAATTCGTCCAAAAATCTTTTTTTCTAAAAAGTCGCACATCGTAATTTTAGCGATTATTTTCGCCTCTAGGGGCCTAGTCTCTACTTTTTTTTTTTCTTACGATCTCCACCTCTGTTCAATCATAAAAAATCAACTACCTATTATCGCTTGTATTCAATATCCAACGAATAGAAAAGAATTGCATAACGCGTTCAAGGTAACGCCTCCTCTTAGCCTTCAGTAGCAACGCATTGCTATAGCGAACTACATAGTGCAGTAATGACCATCAGTGGAAAGACCAGATATAGGGAGTTTCTATTCCACCTTCTTTTGTAGCAAAAACCTGTTGATTTATGAGTGAGAAATCCCACTTCCCTGAATTTTTAGATTATAGATCGAAATTTTACATGAATTTACTGAATCATCGAATCAGTCGAAAAAGAACTATATTTTAATTTATCTTGGAGCAACTGCTGTCTACTCAAGCAGGATTTTCTCTAAGGCTGAAGCTGACTCTAACTTCTGGTGAATAAACTACTTTTTCCATCTGTTTAATGTCCTTTTTTCCCTTTTCATCACCAGCAATACAACTGTAAACCAGTTTCCGTTCGACTGGACGAGTCTGTAACGTTATGTGCCTGCACCTTGCGGATTATCAGGCTGGTGCACAAGTACTACACATGCGTAGTTTGGAAAAATGTGACGCACTTGAATTTGAAGCAAAAACTACTTTTTGTTTTTTGCTGCCGAATGGAAGCATTGTATTCGTCAAATCTGAAATTTCCATTTTTTTGTGTGACGATGACTAATTTTTGTCTCACGAGTTCGAATATGCTGTTTTTATCACGCTGTGTGCAAAGTGACATTTTACGCACG